GTTTTGTGTTTCCAATTATTTGAAAAAAGATTCAAGTCTGTCTTGTGAGGTGGATTCTGGGCTTCACCATTACACACAAACATGAACACCAGCGCAAATGTGGCTCCTGAAAGCTTCATCATATGACGCTTTGTATTCTTCTGTCTGTCTGTCTGTCTGTCTGTCTGTCTGTCTGTGTCTGTCTGTCGTATGCCAGGCCCTCGTTCTCATGTTCTTCATTTTGTGCTTTCAAACCTCCATCAGCGCAGTGGAGGACATTTTAAACATGGCTGCCACCCGCTGAAGGCCGTCATCGGCATTTCTGTGTTCTCACTGTGGCTGGTTTACAGGTTCCCCACAGGCAGGGACTGTCTCTGGTTTACAGGTTCCCCACAGGCAGGGACTGTCTCTGGTTTACAGGTTCCACTCGTGAGCTTTTACCATGCTGGGAGCTCTGCGTTTCTGTTCTTCCGCTTTTTGGAATGATCTGCTTTTCTGATCCTTTCCTGGTGCCTCCTGTGTATCCTTCACTGCTGTCCCATCCGCGGGAGGTTCTTTTCCCGCGCTCCCCACAAACATCCCAAGGTGGCGCTGTCGATGATCAGCACATCTACAAGCATGACGACGTGGCCGCAGTGTCACCATGGCGAGTGGCGACTCTTGTTTTCTCTCTGCGTAATTAAGTCTCGGACTCAATCGCGGCTCGTGGGCATGCATACTAACGGCCCCCCCTCCCAGCAGGCGCCTCGGCCAGACGCCGGACCCGCGTTTGTGAGCGCGGCGCCGCGGCACGGCGGTCTCCGTGTGCCGAGTGCCTCTCGTTGCTTCATTTCCTGCTTTAATTGGCCTATTTAAATGCATCCCCAGCCTGTCCATACCCACCAAAGTCTCAGATGGAAATGATTTGCTCCTTGCATTCTCCCGCACGCGCCGGCCTTCCTCAGAGAGTCTGCTTGTTGACTTGTCCAGATGAGCATAACCGAGGACGCATATTGTTTTACATTTTCTGAGCAGAGACACTGGCTCTCGCACGCATGTTGACGCATGCTTTGGCCCTTGTTCAGCCACACTGGCACTCATCACCAGTGGCTGCAGCTGTCTGCTGGCTGCTGAGATGTTGCTTTGGACCTGGCCGGCCCAGTGGTACCGTCCCTAGCGCGTAAACGGCTTGCCTTCCCTTCTCTCTCTTACCACATTCATGGTGCTTCCTCCTTGCATTACCACCTCGACGTCTTTTGACTGTTTTAACATTACAGATAGCTTAAATCAACCAGATGTCAGCATCAGACCCAAGGCATAAGTGAACTGAGTGGCTGCTTAGGGCCCGGCAGCCACCAGGGGGCGCCCCATCTGATCAGCCTGTCAGAATGGGAAGGAAGATGACGGAAAGCAACAAGTTTCATCACATTTTACATAGGGCTCCAAAAAGGGTTGGGTTTTCTCTGATCAGACCATTCTATGTCTCAGTTAAAGCAAGGCATTCGTGGAATTTTGAAAGACCTGCGTGCTGAGCTCCCATTAAAGCTGCCAGCTTATGTCTGTCATGGTGTCGGGTGTTGATTTTAAGTGCGCCGTCTCCGCTGAAAGTCGGGACGTGTGACAGATGTATGTGTAGGGCCGCGTGTCCGAACATGACACGCCTCAGGCATCGTGTGTCACACGCTGGCCTTGTAAGAGCGGCCTCCAGTCACCAATGGAATAACAGCATGCTGGGAATCATCTGGGAATGTCGGAGGCTGGTCGCAGGCCCTGCTCCCATCGCCGGATTCCCGATGACACTTGCACATCCGTTTATGTTAGTGGTGATTAAAATGCTGCTGCCGCCTTTGTCCTCCTAGTGCTCTTAAAGGACCGGTTCTGTCATCTGTCTTTCTCCACCCTGTGAAATTGCAGAAGTTAATGGTTCCAATTTCTGGGAACCGTAAATCTTTGAGTAACTCGAGCTGATTGCTTTTGAAATGGAAAGCTCCGAGATTTACATGAAGTGGCCTTCTTAGTCACAACAGCGGCGACAGCAGGGCTGTTCATGACTGCCTGTCTTGTGCGTTTTAGACGCCAGTAAGGGAAGAGAGAGCCGTTAATGAGCACAGGATACCTTGAGAAGACAAGCTCAGTTTCGGGGAACACGTGTTTCCTGTGAAAGGGTTTGGAAGAACAAGACACATGCTCACTTGTGCCAAATGTCGACGAGGAACTCAAGAAGGTCAGCCAGTGGTGTGCAGGTCAAGTTTCTGAGGGTGATTTGTTTTGGTGAGATGATCCAGCCATGGTTCAAGATGGAATATTTTGAGATGATCTTTGGTATCAGATCTCATGACGACTTTCATTGTCGATTTTGTAAGCTTAGCTGACTCATAAAAATGTGATGTGGGTGTGTGTTTGTGTGTGGGAGCGGGTTACAGGTGTTTACCTGTTTCTCTTATCGATGCTCTTGCGCAAGCGGGCGGACCTGCCCGCTGCCACGTATGTACAGCCGGCCGTCAGTCGGGTTTGCCGAGACCCTGCTGGCCGCCTTCTTGAGCACCTTGCCACATTGTGCCTCTGGATGGTGCTGCAGCAAGCTGGTGTGCACTGCTGTGTCTTGACTGGTCACCTGCTCCCACTCAGGTGTTTACCTTGAGGCACACTGGAGTTCCTCACATGCTCAATGACTAGACTAGACCCAAGGTTACAGGTTTTTTTTCATCCCTCGACATGGTTCCTTTCTTATGTCTTCCATGGGGTATTTGGTGTCTTCTGTTTCTTATTAAAAACAGCAGCTGGAACCGACCTGCCGTATTAATGCCTATCATGTTTGTGTTGCATTATTCACTGGCACCAGAAGAGGTGAAGCCAGGTGGATTGTGGGTGAACTTAAGCCCAAGATGTGCTCACTGTCTCTTTGTCTGCGACGCCTCAGAGACTCCCTGATGTTCAGTCCTGCCTACTCAGCTGTGTCCCAGTGATGCTTCTGCTGTTTTCAGCTCACAACCCTGGAATTTTCAGGGATGCTTAGAAACACACCTGGGAGTTGGAGGTTTATTATTTTTACCATTGAAAATTCATAGCAGTCTTCTTTTTTTAGTTTAATTTTCGTACATAACTTTAATGTGGAGAATTTCATCATTTTTCATCAACAATGCAAGAAAAAACCAATTTCTGTGAAAAAACTGTGATTTTCATCTCAAGAGTATCAAAGTGAATATTTAGTCTGTAAGTCTGTAAGCTGGACACAATAAATTTACAGCCTCAGAGTTACACTTGTCGTTTTGGTTATTGAAACTACAGCAGATAATCAATAACGTTGGAAATAATCTATAATAAGAATTACTGACGAGTCAAGTGGTTTACTGGGTAAATTTCTTATTACACATTCGCCACCTAGCAATGTCACTGTGTTTAACCTAGTTCACCGTGATGGCTTGTGCATGGTTGTGTCTGTGGACTCTTGTGTATGTACTGCATCTGTCTGCAGACGCAGACGCAGACGCAGACGGTCGTGGTGCGTGCATGCGTACAGCAGTGATATTCCACCAGACCAGCAGAGGGCAGATGTATTGCAACTTACACCAATATAAGCAGTGCAGTAAAATGGACAAACTGGATGAGCAAGAGTGAAACGGTTTGAAAGTTGTCACTGGGCTTCAGTAGTATTATTGAAATCTCTGGGGAGAAATCAGCCACCCCCCCCCCGCCCCCCCCATGGTGTAAAGTGAGGTAAACATGGCAAAGGCAGAGCAGATGTTAGCTTCTATCCCACTTTGTCCCTTTAAATAGAGATTCTCTACGCTGTGTAAAGTTTTTATTACAACTGTGACTTAAGAATACCTCTCTGTGTTTTTTCCATGAAGCATTTGCACCGATTACATGATTAATCGATTACCAAAAATGATCAGTCATTCTTTTCCCAGACTGAAACGCAGTGAGACATATTTGTAAAAATACACAGAATAGTGGAATTAATTTAATGAGGCATGTTTGAGTCACCCACTTAGTATTTGGCTCCATAACTGCTGTAGGCTTATGATGAACTACCTGCCTTGGACCAGGACGGCCGCTACATAAATCAATGTAAAAGTAAGTATTTCCGTTGAAAAATATGACCGCTCCAAAAATAGCGAGGAGTGAATTTGTATGGCGGAAGCCTCCTGTCGTGTCCTGATGTTGTGTGAAATAGACACCGTGGCGACCGTTCAGCCAGCCTCTGCAGGACGTGGCCTCATTCTTGGTGAACAGATTACATTAAAAGGTTAGAGCTGTTAGGAGATGCTTCGCTGAGAAATGGGACCTCAGACAAGCGCGATCCTTCTTCACCAGGGTTCCTAATGGACGCTGGTGGCCACGTCTCTGTCACGCGACTCCTCCGAGAATCACTTTTAATGCTTCTTTAAATTTTGTCTGTGTCTCCCACAAACATAAATTTGTTTGATCCACTGAGACTGTAACCCAGTGGTTTTGGTCTGAGGCAGGTTTCATGCCTGGATCTGTTGTGGGAGCAAATTCCGGACTCCTGTCCCATAAAATGGCACTGCGTGTCTTTGTTTGAAGTCTCCATCGGATCTGAAATCCCCTCATCCGGGTCAGTGGAATACCGAACTGACATTTTGTCTCTGGCCGGTGAGGATTAGGTTACAAAGTAAGCAACTGGGAGACCTAAATGGATGTGGGATCAGTCTAAGATGGTATTTGTGGTGGAAAGGGATTAAAACGTGATTACGCTGGGATAAGGGAAACCTAAGAACGCGACAATGCCTAGAAATAGCTATGTAACCTTTACATTTGAAGTGGGCTTGTCTTTTACAGAAAGGTTAGTGTGTCAGAGAATGAGTCTCTCACTTTATTTTGATGTTATTTTTGTTCTCCCTGGTAAGACTTTCCTTGTTTTTTCATAGTAGGGCGCCTCTTACCTGGCCAGTCACATCACAAACAAGCCTCCCATTGGCTGGAGCAGCCGCATAATCACGCGGCTCCTGCCCCCCGGTCCCACCTGCCAGGCCCCTCCCACAGTGAAACCCAACACCTGTGACATCATGTGTAGGCAGTGCCAGGATCTCCGGCCAAGCCTGTTCAGTGTGTGAGCCAACTTCATCTCAGGCGCTTCACTGACTGAACCCTGGTCTATCTCCAGCTGCCACCGTACCTGTTTGGGGTTGAGAGAAGGAACGAGTTGCAAGCCAACCTGAAGCTGCAAGCGCCTCTGGATTAACCTTCCGCCACTGTATCCGAGCCCCTGTTCACCTGAAGCAGGTTCTGTGCTGATTACTGGCCGGCTGTATGGGATTTTAACGCCGTGCTCTGTGCTCCTGGAAGTAACCGCGAGTCTCCGTCAACAAGCTTGAGGGCTTCCCCTGCTCAGTCCGTGTCTTTAATTCCCTTTGGATTCGTGTAGCTGACATGGGTAAGTGTGGGCCTCTTCGTTTTGGAATCCTGCTTCTTCAAAACAAATGATTTTTTTTTCCTCATTCCATCTTTTTGCTGTTGTTCCAGCCTGGGGTTCAGCAGCAATGTTTCCCTGCTTTTTAATCCAGGTAACTCAGAGAGGGAGAGAAATGTGAACAGGAATTGCAGAGGAATTGCAAGCAGGCTGTCTAAAGGCTCTGATTAGGGCAGCAGTTTAATTTCACCTATTTTTCTTATTTAAAAACAAGTGTAGGATTTCATCACCACACAGCATTTTCTCTTCCTCTCGTCTTGCCTGAGGCTTTTGTCCTCTTGCTCGGTCTTGTTAAGCCAAAACAATGGTAAACCCCTCTTTGGACTGCACTCTGTTGGGTAGCTTTTTGGCAAATTGCCCCTTAGCCTGCAAGCACCCCCCCTCCCCCCACTTTCAGCACTTTGAATAAAGCCCATAGTTTTGCCTGGCCGTCCCCTAGCTACAGACGCTGCGGGGGGACACCCTGTCGCTCCGGCCGAGTACGGAGTGACCGGCACAGACGCTGCTGTGTTTCCAGTTGTCTTCATCTCTCTCCTGTGACTGTGAGCAACTTTCCGGAGAAGGAACTTTCAAGATCCAGGGCTCAAGTGCAGCGTTTGGAAACGGGATGTTAAAACTTTCAGAAGGGCAGTAATTAATGTGCCACTGCGGAAGGAAATGGTTAAAAAATGTGAAAGTGATTCGTTGCGTTAATTATTAAGAGTGATTGTTGTATTTCTGCCAATAAAAAATTCCCTCTTGATAGAATCTGGTTCAAGCTTTACACACAAACGAACGGAGCGAAAACTGTGTGTGGCCCCAGGTGTTGCCGCCGTTGGAAACAGGTTCTCAGAGTTTTTTCTTTGTTTAAACGCCTGCGTTGCCCTTTTTGCGGAGAGTCAACACAGCAGATAGGGCAGGTAACTGCGGTAACCAGCTCTGCGCCAGTGGTCACACTTGTTAGGCGACCAAACCTTTTCTTTTTTCTTTTCGTTTTCTCAAGGCTGCCCTAAGGTGGTAAAGTCGCTGCTATCTGGCCGCGGGATCACAGATGTTTCCTCCTCTTTGTTTGGCGAGGAGCCCCAGTGTGGCGCTGCTCAGCTCTGACCTTTAGTCACTGTTTGCCGAGATTCTCGCGCTCGACCACGTCGGCCGTAACGTCCGTTCTAACAGATGTGCCTGCAGGTCAGTATCACCTGCACACGGAAAGCCCCAGTGCCCTCCGCCAGACTGGGAGAGTGATCTTTTCTGGGAGAGTCTTTTAAAAATAGGAGGGAGCCTTCTTGACTGTTGGACCGACCCAGCCCTCCCCCAACCCCCCCCCAACCCCCCCGCGTGACCTATTGACCTCTTCATTTCTTGTTAGTTTTTATTTTTTATTTTTACCTCCCACCATTGTTGCATCTTCAAGGTATTGCTTTGTCGGTGCTGGTTCTGTTCAGGGATTCGGGCTGTGGACCACCGACCCGCCGGGTCCGTGTCACTCATCCTTCATTTTTTTTTTTAAACTCCCCTTTGTTTATTTTTGTCGTTGGTCACAAACGCTCATGTGAAGGCACTGCGAGACGTTTCATACATGTGCGCACGTAGCCAAGCATCAGTGCACTCCCGCACCACACACACACACACACACGGCCGTCATGTTCCCCGGCAGCTTTAAGGACTCCTGTGCCTTTATCTGGGTCACATCTTCCTCCCCGCGTCGAAGGCGGCAACGTGGGCCTCTCCAGCGCGCTCTGTTGGATTCCATTTAGCTGTAGAAACATTCGATTTGTGGCCGTGAGAGATCCAGGCCATCTCTCTGCACGCTGCCCCTTCCTCGGTGAACGCGGGTAATAAGACGGGAGGTCTGCGTCCGCGCACACAGGCAGTCTGCGTCCACACACAGGCGGTCTGCGTCCACACACAGGCGGTCTGCGTCCACACACAGGCGGCGGTTCCGTGCGGCGTGACTGTTTATTTCCCGCCAGTCGCTGTGTTATGCACCATTGTTACATGTGTGTTCTTGTTTCACAGAACAAGAAGTTACATGTCAGGGTGTGTGAGGCATTACTGCTACAGAAAAAGGAAACGTCTCTTTTTTTCTGTTGGGAGTTGGAAGGGATCATTGTAAGTTCGATTTTTAATTATTGTTATGAAGAGATAATCCGTCATAAGGACTCATACTCAGTGTGTCTGCCGGAGGCTCTCGCCTTACACTGACAACCTCTAGCTGGAAATGTAATGTTCAAACACTGCCTGTTATCAGTCGACTTCAGGATGACTTTGACATGTCCCGTCGAGCTCAGCGGAGGTGGAGGAGGGACCGCCGGTGTCCCCCGTAGCTGCGGTAGTCCGCTGACTACTCCCTTCCGGAAATCTCCGCCTGCAGACCTGCGTTGACTTGTCCTGTGAGCAGTTCTGCAGATGGCACCTCATGGTGTGGCCCGTGGGTTCCTGCGTCACTGAGCCGGATTAGCGTGGGCTAAGGGAGCCGTCACCAGATCGATGTCAAGACGGTCCGCATGTTGCCTCTCAATAGCTTCTCCAGATAGGTCACAAACATGCGGTAATTAAGTTCTTAGGTGAGCAGGAATGTTGTTGGATCCACGCAATAGTGTTTAAATTGTTATGTAGAGTGTGATTATAAAGTAGTTGAAGTGCATCATGTCAGCTGCAGAGTGGAGAACTTCTTGACGCATCTTTGAATCTTGGATTTCACCGGCCGTCTAAAGCAACATGAATGAACTTTAGCAACAGTTACCCAAAGCAATTAGTCTAACGGTCATTTTAGGAAGTTTTAACAAGCTGACGAAGGCCAACATGTTTTGTTTCCACAAATGTAACCTGAAGGTTTTAAGGTTGGGAATGGGTGTGTCCTGCAGATTAACTCACATTAATGTCTCTGTCTAAAAGTGACAGTCATGTTCCCTGTGACGTGTAAGCTTTCTGTCTCACAAAGGTTACCATGGGGGGCCTCTATTCAAACTCCACTAAACCCTGTGCCCCCTTCCTTCAGTGATGGACTAGTGCTGTGGACTTGTGGTCACTTTCCCCTTCTGCTCAAGCATTAGCAGAACAGCTGTTTTTTTATATTTTAAACTATGTCTATAGAGAGTTTTGTCCCATGCTGGTGTTTCTCAGCTTCTCTTGGTCTGACGGTGGGAGACGCCTCTGGCTGGTGGTGGGCAACTCCCCCCCCCCCCCCGAAAAAGAGAGGAGTCTGCCTTATAATCCTACAGATGCTCATGTCCTCTTGCAGTTCTGCAGACACTTGCGCATAAATAAGCATAAAAGCATCTCCACAAAATTGTGATCTGTAACCAACAGATCATATTGCGTGGAAATGTGCTGCGTTATTTCGTACCTGCAGCCGAGGGTCTTTTATTTACTCCTCGTCTCGTGTTGAAAGCCTACATGCTGTCCAGAGAGGGGGTGCCGTATCAGCAGGGCTCGGAGGCCGCCTGACGGGCCTTTGCGTTTGTTATCCATGGTGTTGCTGTGCACCACGCACACGTCGCCCGCTTTGGCCATTATCTGTCAACTCGGCAATGAGTTCACAGGAGACGGCGTCCCAAGGTTTGGGACAACTTCCTGGGGTGGGGGGTCAGGCTGTTCTTTTGGGGCTGTGCTTTTTATCACTAAGACACATGAAACACCCCAATTTCACTTTCTACGCTTTAGGTAAATATGGCTCCACAGGTGCGGCACTGGATTTTGCAGTGCATAAGGAGATATTAATTATAGTGTTACTGCTTCATGGACTTCACTGGAGATCATTAGATTAACTACGTTTCATGACCATTAACGTACAATAAAATAAACATTTTCAGCATGACCTTTTTAGCATGTAAATTGAATTTTGTGATACATTTAATAGAACATGTCTTTTTTTTGTTAAAATTTTTAATTTACTGTCCTTGTGAGACCCTTTTCGTTGGTTGATTGACTCAGGGTAGTTGAATGGACATGGTTCCGTTCCGATGCATCTGCAGCATGCCCACTCACAGGCCGGCCCCGTTAATCTTCTCTGTGGTGTCACGCCGCGGTTCCACTGATTCCCTTCAGTTCTTCTTTTCTCCACACTGCATTAGGCTGTTCCCAGGCCTCTCAATCGATAGCCAGTGCCTTGCTGGTGGATTGCAGACATGACGCGCTGCTTGGCCTCACTGGCTCTACACTGTACTTCCGTGAGGTGCCTCTATCATGCCCTTGCGTCACCATGACCACTGTGGTCCGCCAGGTGGCCGTCCGCTGATTATTTCTGTTCCCCTACAGTGGCTTTCTGGCGTCCGCTAAGCCGTCCTTCCACAAGACTGGTTTTTCTTGCTCCTCTACACCTTCCCCAAAGGCAATTATGGCAGGGAGGGGCTGGATTGGAGGGGGTTTGTACATTGGGGGGGGGGGGGGGTAAGTTGGGAGCTGCCCCTCTCAAAGTTACACCCCCCTAAGCCTGCTCTCTTTCCTCTGTTGAGTTCAAAGGGGGCATTCTTTCCCAGTATTTAAGGACCCCACTAAACCCAGGGTGCCCATCAGTCATTGGTTGTCTCTGAGAGATAGACCGGCCCATTGGATAATGATTCCCACTGGAGTAACCCGCCCACTGAGGAACAATGCAGCTCACTAAGATGGTGCCTCCCCTTGATTGTCTGTTCACATTTGTCTGTGGTTGTCTTCAAGAACATCCGAAGCAGTGCTTTTCGGGATTCCGAGCTGGAAAAACGAGGGTGGATGTGCTGGATTCGTCTTGATTGGAGAGCGGCAATGTGACAGACGTTCGATGTGAACAGACGTCCCTAAATGGGTCACAGTGTGGAGGAAATAGCCCTGTGTGAAAATGCTGGTTAGTTACCATCAAACCGGGTTTCTGACAAGTTGCTGCCAGAGATTTATCTCAATGGGAACATTTCTCACAGTCTCCCAGATTACCATCCAAAACCTAGGGATCGAGTCAATCCAGCTGGTAATATGACCACTAATCCTTGGCTTTTAGCGTAAATCTTGCACT